GAGGAAAAATTGTTTAATAAATTACTAAAGCAATAATTTTTGCGCTAAATATTTAAAAGCATCTGTGAAAAAAGTAAAACAACCTGATGTAAAACAAATCGGATGAAAGAAATTAAAAAATGAAATATTAAAACAGATAGTAGATGTTTAGTTAGCAAAAATTTCTGAAAAGTTCGCTAAGAATAAATCTAATATCAGAAATAAATATTTAAATTGGAATAAAATTTGCTCAGATTAGTATTTAGCAGATGTTTGTTATAATTTCAAAGAAAAAGATATTTATAAACATCGAATGGCGACATATCGGCAACTAACTCTTTGCCAGGAAGACAGAAATTAATTTTTTTATATCTCCTTTCATGGGCACATTTGCCAGGTCAAATGATTAATAGATGACTGATAGCGTAATATAACATGACGTAACGGTCAAAAATTTCGGAGACTGATCTACAAATGCTTTTAATATCAAAATCAATCATTTTACATAAAAATGACTTTTTTAGAATTGCATAAATATTAAAACTATTCGTAATAAATATGACTTAGTTATCTTAATAGTTATATCAAACAGTTACATTATTTTTAACGCATACAGGAATGCACTGATGTGAGTAATAAATGACGTTAAATATATTTTATTAACTGCTAATAGAAGTTTATATATTCATTAATTTATTATTTAATACATAAAAATAAAAATATTCATTAAGTTTATCAGCTGAAATGCATTATGAATCATATCATTTGCGTATATAATGAAGTTGATCCATTACATATATTTTTAAGATAAAGTTATTAAGAAATAAATTTATAGCTTATAAATCATTCAGAAAAGCAAATGCCGTTATACTTTAAAAGTAAAGTTAAAAATATTGCTGTGATATCTGCTAATTTATGCAATTGTTAAAAATATTGGCCAGGTCAAATTTGTTAGACCACATGAATGATAAATAGTATGGTAGTGTAACGTACAATATGACTAAAGATTAGAGGAATTGCATGCACATGTTCCTAATGTCAAAAGCTGAAATTTTCAGATTTGATTTCACTTTTGTTAGTGAAATTTAAATTTTGTTTGCAAATTGTTGTACCCTTATTAACAAGATGGAAATTTTGATAATTAAAAAATCAGATTTCTTCTTAGATTCTTTCTTCTTAGAGACTTCCGAGACCCCATTATTTACATGTGTTTCCAAGTAACAATTGTGTAATATCCCAAAGTGAGGTATATCATGTTACTTGATATAAGATAAATACTGCATTACTATTAATACTTTTGCAGATTTTAAAATTAGTCATTAAAGGAACATTAGACTGACGTACGGTTTGAATAAAACACTATCAATTTCGAAGAAGTTCCTTTCCTTGAGAAAGACAAAAACATTTTTTGGTAATGGGAGGAGCAACTGCCAAAACTTACGAGGAGATCCAACGAACGGGGCAAAGCGATAATGAACGTAGTTTTTTAAATAAACATGGTAACTATTCTTCTCACTTTTGCCAAACAACATTTTTCCTGAAGAAGAGGAGGGAGGTCTGCCAGTCTTCGAAATCGATAGATTTTTATTGAAAATCTGCTGCAATCGAAAGTTGATTTTTTTTCTTTTTCCTAATTTTTAAATTTTAGGTTTTACATTTGTGTGTTATGCTTTCACTTAAAAAGCGTTTTCAAATATTAAATGAACAGCTAACAGAAACTGTGAATTGTAATAAAAACAAAATATATGATTGCAGTGGCTCCACGTGCCAGTCAGAAGTCATAAGTCTACAATATTAGTAAAAGTCCTACTTATATGCAAAGAAAACCTTACGCTTGCCAATACAATGATGTGGTCCTAAATGGCGGTAGAATCTCAGTTTAGTAAAATGAACATATTTTGCTTATGATCCATTAGCTAGATAAAAGGTTAACTTTTCCCTTTAATTTCTGGTAGTACCATGAAATTGTATACGATTCAGTTCGCTTCCCTAGACACATTTTTTTTCTTTTTTAGTATTTCCCGTTTGACCTTAATGTCCCCAAATGACTTGTTCTAGTCTTCAGGACAAATGCGGTAAGCATTTCCGAAAAGAAAATATGACCTTTTTTTCATGTTCTATGCAGGTGATGAATTGGGTTTCTTTTCATCTCTCAGCGATTTAAATAATGGCGCATATGGGTATTTTGTTGTTTTCTCATTTCATTAGCGCTTTTAGCAATTAACGAGGAAAATGAAAAGACTAAACGTTGTTTAAGGTTCGGATAGAAAAGAAATAAATTATATTTAAGCAATAAATGAGGGTACAGTCCCAAGAAAGCAGTTGTGATGTTCAAAAACAAGAAGAGACACTTAGTATCCGAGATTAATACGCATTAAATGGAAATTTTGCTATGAAAAGGTTTAAAAAATACGGAAAGGAGAGAATTGAACTGAGCTTAAAAGAAGTAAAAAACGGAATTTTAGTTGAGAATTGAAATGTAGAATGTATAACGAAAGCAAACATGGCAGTTACTTAGAGTATAGAAACCGTTTTAAAAATATCACACGACTATTGATCAACAACCCATAGTTAAAATTTAAAAGGTATTTTAAATAAAGCAATTTTTCAAATTACAAGAATTTTATTCGAGAAAAATATTCCACTAAAAATATTAAAAAAAATATTAATCTTTGTACGGACCATTTAAAAAGAAAATTCTAATTAGAAATTTGTTCTTTACGCTATTAAATGTCTCTATCAAAATTCATTTTTAAGTGGCCTGTAAACGATTTTTCTAAATGAAAGTACGTATCACAGTGAACTTTCTCTAAGGTGACCACTTGCATTTCTAGATAGCGCTGCTCTTTCGTGAAGGTGGTCATCTTAGAGAGAACATGCTCAGCAGATATTTGTTTATGCTGCCATAAATACTAATCACTTTCAAAACTAATTCATCTTAGGCAGGTGAGCACGACGAGATAGTTTACGTATATGTACTCATAAGAAGTACTTTTTAAAAATTAATTACTTTATAACAGTTATAGTTATTTATTGAAGACAAAACAGCAGTCCTTTTCCTTAGTTGGAAATTCTTCGAATTTTTTTGTCTGTTGTTATTGCGTGAGCATATATGCCATCATTTTCCCTTCTGCAGCTGAAGAAAAAGCTTCTCTTTAAATTCCGAAATTAGGCCTCAACTTCTATTCATTTAACACTGATTTTTGTTTTAGTTGCTGCTGTTAATGCTCATTTGTCGTCTAAGCCGACGAAACTCCTCTTGGGAAGGAGCACAAGTTTACGCCTGTAGTTGGAAAAAAAGCCTTGAGCACCTTAACAAGTGACAGTGCGATTTAGCTCAATTCCGACCCCAAATTGAATGAGAGCCCCTGGGGGAGGGGTCGGGTACGATGGTCTCCCACACTTCTTCCCCTGCCACAACCTTTCAAGAGGACTTTCGGCTTGCCGCATATTTAGAATGCCACCATGCCGCACGGACACTGTACATTTACAAACATCCCTGCCTTCTCCGGCGTTCGAATCCGGGCCCTTTTTTAACGTGTTATTTTAGCTAACACTAAAGAAATCAGATCCATAAAAAGTTATAACAATTACAGATAAAATTATAAAATACTTAAATTATTTAAGCATTCATCAATTGTTTTCAGATTAAACTTATTCTTAAAATTCTTAATTCGCATTTAAGTTAGTTAAGAATGCGCTGTTCACTTCGAAAGCTAAAATAAATCTTATTGAATATTGATATTAAAGTACTTCTGAGAATTGGCAATATGGCAGACCACGTGGATAATAAATGTAATAGTAAAAGAAGGTAATGTAATGGACATAAAAATGCTAAGTTTAAAATTTATAGAAGTTTCTATGTCCTGCAATATACAGAATTTAAATGCCGCAATAAAAATGCCTGAAGACAATGCCCTAAGACATGGCTAGAATTGAATTGCTTAAACGGTTTTCACTCTCCAGTAAAAAGCAAATGGTGAAACTCTTTATTCTGCAGTCGAATAAAAATTGAAGCCTACGAGACACAAATTTTGCATTGAACGTTCATAAAAGTTAATAATCAAGGGCGATATCTTTTATAAGGTTGTAATTTAAAAATTACATGCATAACGATCTTAAGCTCGATTCGTTTATGATACAGAATATCCTGATGAAATATTTAAAATGTTGATACAACGCAGAATTTCAATGTAAAGACGACTTAAATTACGTCATTTTTAAATTTGAAAACATGGTATATGACCGAAAGTTAAAAAATATTTTGTTGTGAGATCATTTTGAAATATATAAGATAGGAATAAGATATTTAATAATAAAACGACATTAAAGAATACAAATTTATGCAGAAATATATTAAAGTACTGGAGTTCCGAAATTAAAAGAAATAATATAGGATCTATATATATTCATTTGAATTCATTTTTCAAAAAATGGTATCCATGAATAAGAAGCGCAGTGAGAATAAATGCAATTAGCGCTTTATCTGCATTTATATTTAGCGCAAAAGCTCACGATGCAATTTAAATCTAATTTAAAATCTTATGTTTCAATATGATATACTCAGTCTTTCGCCATACCGTTTATGTAAAAGCTTTCAAAACCTATTAATACTTTGTTATAGGAAAAGTATAAAACTGAAACAAAAATTTATTTTTCTTCCAGTGCATACGGTTGTTAAGTTATTTTATTTACATATTTATTTACATACTGCTATAAAACTGCGTTGCATAACACAGTTTCATGAAACACTTCTGTATGGGAATGAATGAATATAAGTTTTACTCGTTATCACTTTTACCGTTTCTTAAATATAATTAGAAACGAAGTGAGAAAAGCATTTCTTAATAAAAAGTGATCAAAAAGATTAGTTAAAATACAAATTTAATACTATCTCTGGAAGAACAAAGTTAAATGCAACAAAATAAGATTTACATAAGGTATTAGCTATATAACAATCATATGATTTACTGATGTAATGCTTAAAGCAGTCAAACTAATAAATTCTAAAAAATACTCACCAGCGACTAGTTGTATCCTGCCGACCATCATAGCCACTAATTGCCTATTTCTTCTGCCAACGATCCACACATTGCAAAATGCCAGAATGGAGCACCAGGTGAGAAGAACACATCCGCTACCAAAAAGGACATAGGATGTTTGCCAAGAACTGGATGGAAAGTCCTCTCCGAAGTTATGGCATTCAAGTTCTTCAGCTGATTCAGAGTTTTTGCCACTGTAACACACAGAAACCATGCCCAAAGTCGACACAAGAGCTTTCTTGTCATACTCAAGAACTTCACTTCGAGTTTGGTGTTCCTTGACAAACCATTCTGGATGAACATATGCCGTCGTGGCGAGAGTTGATACTAACCAAGATAGCAAAATCCAAAGCACAGTCACAGGCCAAGAAGTGACCAGTTCGATATGCACTACAGTGCAAGGAGATTGATGGCTTGAAGACAGTTCTTGCTTAAGAATTCCTTCATTCATACATCGGGTTTTGCATACTTTGTACTGCATGTTTCCCAAAGAGTTTTACACAGAGCTTACATTATGAACTTGATGTCAGATAATTGAATTTTTACATTCACACATGCATATTTGCCTTCTGCTAAACAATTTAAGTATGAAGATAGGTATCTTTACCAGATATTCTATAACCAGGTAAACTTGATTAGAAACATCGTCATAGTACCCATAGAATATTGCAACAAATGATACATTCAAAATAAATTCAGATGAATTGGATAACTAAATTTTAATTTTACTGTTTCTGTTTCCCGCTGCATTGTTGTTCTGGCTTCGAAGTTCTACTTCTTTATTCGGAGAATTATAATGATTTCTCCAGTCAGTCTTAAATATGACGCACAAAGATCTGAAAGAAAAGTAATTTTAGTTTCTTTAAAAACATGAATAAAATAAAAATAAAAATTAAAAAATAAAATAAAAGTTACAGTACTCAATTAAAAATGTCTCGAAATTTATGATTAAAAAAACCATCAGACTTAAATTTGAAGACATCTCTACCTTAACAGAAAAGGGAGGAATCTAGACTAATCCTCCTCCTTTTTTTCTTTTACACCACATGCTTGTGTTTATTATGTCACGTGGACTGCATTGTAGTATTCCTCTCTCTTAGTATAATAATACAAGAAATTTATTTGCAGATATATATATGTTACCGGTAATGTACTTGGATGGTACAGAAATGATTGACGCAACGACTGTCACAACGAAACTATTACACGATGCGACATAGAAAACAAGTGAAACAGACACAAGGGGGCGTGAGTTACTCAGAATGCATAGATGACGCTGGTTTTAGGCCGAATGGTATAAGTCAGCGGCCGTCCCTTTCGCCGTCGTCATTGAGAGCGTGGACAGCAATGATGGAAGATGACTATCATAGTCAGCGCGGTTTCCATGGAAGGAAAGGATACAGGGTAGTGAGATCCACAGTCCCATGGTGTCGGTATGCGTGAACAAAGCGCCCTCAAGGCGTACCGTACAGCGTTGGTTGGCTAAGTTATCTTCAGCAGGGGAGTGGAGACTGCAGTCAGAGGTGTCAGCGCGTAACGATCAGCAACATCGCATGCAGCAGCCGTGTCTGATTTGATCATGGCGAACAGGCGCATAACGTTCAATGAGATGCAGGAAGAGACAAGGCTTGCGCGAGGAACATTGCAGGCGATTGTGCATTTTGATTTGGAGATGACAAAGGTGTGTGCAAAGTGAGTGCCTCATGCACTCACAACAAAAGGCGAAGTGCTTCGACATCTGCAAAGAACTTCTTGCACTACACGATGCCGAACCGGATGACTTCTTCGCCCACCTGGTCACGAGGGAGGAGTCGTGGTTTTTGCACGACACTCCCGAAAAAAAAAAAAACGCAGCTTCATGGAGTGGAAGCTTGCATCAAGCCCAAGTCCCAAGAAGCCTAGGCCAGCGTTGAACACACGGAAACAAATGGCAACATTCTTCTGAGATGTCCAGGGCGTTCTTTTCGTGGACTGGCTGGAGCCTAGGTGCAACATCAACAGCGACCGGCACTGAGATGTTGCCAGAACGCTGCGACTGGGCATTTAATAGCACCGTCCGAGAAAATGGGCACGGTACGTGCTGTTGCAGCATAACAACGCACGTCCCCACGCCAGCCAGAACACTCGCGATACTCTCGAGGGATCGAGCTTCACTGCATTGCCACACCCTCCGTACTCGCTCCATCTGGATGAAGGACGCAGTCAGTGGCCAACATGTTGAATCTTTTGCCGAATTGCTCGCAATTGTCCGTAGGTGGTGCTCCAACACTCCCACAGACTGGTTTACCAAAGCCCTCCGGGACCTCCTAGCCTAATGGCAGAAGTGTATTGACTTAAGCGAGGATTATTTCTAACTGATGTACTATCCGTTTTTTGTTAATAAATTGTATTACGCTCTGTGACCGGCATTCTATAAAACTCTTAAGCATTTTATAGAATGCCTGGCATTTTAAGCATGAAATATGAGAATTATTATATACTTTAAAATGCCTGGCATTTTTAGGCATGAATAATGAAATATGACGTAAGATTTATTCTAAGGTTTTAACAGTTATTGTTAGTTAAAGTTACTTTCCTATCCTTTCTAATTTCATCTTACAAATTTCCGGCCAGAGTGTGTTTTTAGAATCGTGGTTAAATGTTGTACTTAAGAAGGAAGAGCAGTACTTAAGTCGAAGTTCCAATGACTTCGTTAGTGAGCCAGAAATTCTGACTAACGCGCTTTCGCCTTTTGGCTATCCTTTCACTAAGCTATTACTGCCGATAACATCGCGGCAAAAAAATCGCGGAAGAAAAAGTCGCGTAGAAAACAACACAAGGCAAAAACGTCGTGCTACAAAACATCGTGGGAGAAAACATCGCAGTTCTTAAACATCGTGGTACAAAACATCGTCGTCGAAAATAAAGGGTTCAAAAACTTCGCAGTTTAAAAACATCGTCGTCGAAAATATCGTGGTAAAAAATAAAGTGTTTACAAATCATCGCATGACGATAACATCGCAGACGTGCTTTTTTCAGGTTTTAATAATTGTAAATGGATATTCCCATAATGATTTGTGAGCGCAAGATGTGAAGAAGGATAATTTTTACTTTCACATTTTTTTATTAATTAATAAATTTTTGCTGAAAAAAGTGAAGAAGGAAACTTAAGCATAGAAAATTAAATGCAACTTAATAGATTATACTTTTTATGAAAAAATTACCAGTAAAATCTTTATTAAAAATTAATTTATTATGGCCTTTTTTAGTTAACTATGTCGATTTAAAATTCTATTAAGTGCTATAAGTTGCATTAATTTTCTATGCTTAAGTTTTCTTATTTTCTCAGCAAAAATTTATTAGTTTATAAAAAAGTGTGAAAATAAAAATTACCCACCTTCACATCTTGCGCTCACAAATCATTATGGGAATATCCATTTACAGTTATTAAAACCTGAAAAAAGCATGTCTGCCATGTCATCGTCCTGCGGTGATTTGTAGACACTTGATTTTTTACCACGATATTTTCGACGACGATGTTTTTAAACTGCGAAGTTTTTGAACCGCTTTATTTTCGACGACGATGTTTTGTACCACGATGTTTTAGAACTACGATGTTTTCTCTTTACGATGTTTTCTCCCACGATGTTTTGTAGCACGACGTTTTTGCCTTGCGTTGTTTTCTACGCGACGTTTTCGTCCGCGATGTTTTTGCCGCGATGTTTTCGGCTGCAACCTTACTACCCTCGACCGTATTTCAGGCCCTTGATAGCTTCGCCAGTTTAGTTGATATTTAGGGGTCAACTATTTAGAATTTTGATGGCTTCGGCTATATCTTTTAATTAAGCATTAGATAAGTTTTATTTCTTATTATTTGAGTTCAAAGCGCAAGGGGAGGCTTTGCTGTACGTTCTGAGAGAGGAGCCAACTGTTCAATTCTTATTTTGAGAAATGAAGGGTAATTAACCCTTCTTGAGTTTACGTTTCTGTTTCCTGAGCTAAAGCGATTATTCGCTTACCAGTTCTCAAGGTTCCCGCACATTTAGCTGTAAACTAAAAGATGAAACCTTATAATGATAATTATTATATACTTTACATAGGCACTGTATATAATACCTAGGCATCCTATAGAATGACAAATGCTCTTTAGGCAAAGTATGAATACAGGTCAGATTCAAAACTTCAAACGTTATTTTGAAAAAATAATGAAATAGTGCCATTAAAATATTTATTATTTCTCAAAATACAGAGAAAAATTAGTCATATAATCTTGGTATACCATAATAAATTTATATTCTGTACCGGTTGAGACTAGAAATCAATAAGATCTACCTGACAATGGGAATTAAATTGAGAAAAAATCATTTTCACAAGAATGTCCTTTTTAATACATTTTGCTTTATATGGAACGGATCACTAAGGTGGATTGTACAGTTCAATATCATTTAAGTGCAACGTTTTTGTATTTGGTTGCAGGTTCTTTCAACATTCTTTCCAGACTTCTAATAGCCAAATGAGTTTCACGAAGTAAGTGATATAACTGAGCGTCTGTGCCGTATTTTGCACAAACATAACATCATAGCAATTTAGAATATTGTTTTTCACAAACATGACATCATAGCAATTTACAATTTAGGATTTTGTTTTTCACAAACATCACATCATAGCAATTCAGGATAAATGAGTTTACTTTTGTTTTTCCCAAACGTTACATCATAGCAATTCTGCAACTAATATTCTCGTGATTTCGTCTAAGTAGTAATTTTGGCTCTTCTTATAGCACCTTTTAACTTCCTGTAGTTAGTTTTGGTTATTCGAAATGAATGGGAGATGTATTTCATACTTTGCTGGTTTGCCATTTGGCAATCTATAGAATGCCAAATGGCAAACTAATGTGTGAAATGTTTAATCATTTCTTACACTGCAGGCCAGTTTTCGGTATTCTATAAAATCCTCAGGTATTATATAGAATGCCGGATATCATACTTTGCCGATAACATATATATAAAAATAAATGGAACAGTTTATATTGACTTTTTTATGTTTTTTAAGTTCTACAAATAATTGCTAATAATTGCTACACGCACTGCACGTAAAGCTTCATCAAGGTAAGAATCAGTCAGCCGATTTCTATATTAATTCTTGCATATTTTATTTTAGAACAGAATAATTCTCAAAACTACCCTAATAGCGCAATTTTATAGAGACCGGTATGTTTCAGACATTAATTTCTGCAATTTAGCATACTGCTAATAATAATCGGTCAAGGATGATCCGAGGATGATCAAGATAATATTTGAATTACTTCTAATATCAGTTTTTTGACTGAACATCGGAGAAAGAAATCAGAAAGTTTCACCAATAATATTTTAAAGAAGTTAATATAGACTGAAACTTTTGTTTTTTTCTACATTGGTATTTTTGGAGTAAGATTTTATACATAAACGAACAGCAATATTTAGAAAACAATATTTAGTGTAAGCATTGAATAATCACAGATGAAGACCAAACGAAAGACGTAGAATGCCACAATACTATAACATGAGTAAAGCATTAACTTAAAACCAGTGGTGATTTTAATTTTTATATATGTTGGCAACGTTTCGTACACCTTGTTTATTGAAAAGATAAAATGTATACGTTAAAACTACTCTGAAAATTTAACATGTTTCATGACACTAACTTTATAAAATTATTATTGGAAATTTTATGGATTTTTTTCAATTTTTAATCATCAGTTAGTTACAGTAAGGATCTCTTTAACAAATTTATTCAATAATTTTGAGAATCGAGTTATTCGAGATAACAAAGTTTGATTTAATATTTTTTGGATAGCATTTCTCGTAAAAATAAAATA